CCGCCGCCCCGCCGCCCCGCCCCGCCGGCCCTTCCGCCTCACTCAGCGGCGCCACGCAGCGGGACGCGCACGGGCCATGGCGCGGACAGCGGGCAGGGAGCTAGCCCTGGTAAGGGGGCCGGGGCCACGGGACCCCATATCCCTGGTGACCTCCAGGTCCCCGCCCCTTGGGCCTCCTGGCCCCTGACCCAGTGAAGTGGCTGGTTCCTCTTAGGGACGGAGCGGGGGGGTGAGTGTCTCGGGCTCGTCTGCAGTAGGGGACAGAGACAGACTCTGTGAGCCTGGACACTGGGACGTCCCCAAATGCCACCCCATCCTCCCAGGCCGAGGGAGGAGGGTACCCGCGGAGCCGAGGGGGCTTCTCTAGCCTGGGACCCCGCCCCGAGTCTTGCTGAGTCCGGCCGGGAAGGGAGGATGGAGCGGGAAGGGCCAGCCTGAGTCCGCGCGGGAGAGGGGGGCCGAGGCCCGGGGACCTGTCGCCCTGAGCTCGCCTCCGCGTCCAGGCGCCGCTGCAGGACTGGGGCCAGGAGATCGAGGACGGCGCGGTGTACAGTGTCTCCCTGCGGCGGCAGCGCAGCCAGCGCTGGAGCCCGGGGGAAGGGCCCGGGGGCAGCCAGGTGAGGAGTGGGGGCGGGGCGGGAGGCGACCAGGTGGGGGCGGGGTTACGTGGAGGGGCCTGGAGAGAAGGAGGTGGGGGCAGAGTGGAGAGGCGGAGCTGGGGATCGAGAAAGGGCGGGGCTTAGAGGCGGCCAGGTAAGGGCAGAGAGGGGCCCGGGGACGGCCAGGTGAGTGGGGGAGATGAGTGAGGCCGGGCCAGGTGAGGGCGCGGTTCCAGCGGGATCTGGGGACCGAACTGGACGGCAGGGCCCGGGTAAGCCAGGTTTAGCGGGGCTGAGCTGGAGGGGGAGGTGGTCTTTAGAAGGAGCCAAGTGAGAGCGGAATGGGACGGAGGGCAGGGACCAGAACAGCCAGCGAAGCGTGGCTGGAGAGTTGAGAGCAGCCTAGGGGTGGAGGGAAGGGGACAGAGGGCAGGGCCTGGAAGGACGAGGGTGTCCAGGGCGGGTTGCGGGCGTCATCTGTGCCTGGGGCAGGACAATGAATCCAGGGGGCGGGATGCAGAGGAAAGGGCAGGATCGGATGCAGGAGCGGCGCTGGAGGTGGGCGGGGTCGGAAAGGGGGGGCTCCGGCGGCCACTCCTCCGTGTCCCGTTGCAGGCCCCCGGCCCCGCGCCCGACGCCTTCCTCCATTACCGCACCAGCAAGGTGCGGGCGCTGAGGGCGGCGCGGCTGGAGCGGCTGGTGCGCGAGCTGGTGTCCGGAGACCGCGAGCAGGACCCGGGCTTCGTGCCTGCCTTCCTGGCCACCCACCGGGCCTTTGTGCCCACCGCCCGCGTGCTGGGCCTTCTCCTGCCACCGCCGCCGCCGCCCCTGCCGCCGGGGTCCGTACCCATCCCCAGGCCCTCACCTAGGAACCCCCCTAACTCCAGAACCCTCCTTCTAAGCCCCACCCCCCGTAGCCCCTCTTCTTCACCTGGATTTGGGGGGCTCTTCCCAGGGTAGTGATAAAGAAGACAGAAGAACGAGATCTGAGCTTCAACCAGAACCTGAGGTGGGTCTCCCATCTGGTGGGGGGGGGGCCCTAGAGGTCAAAGGTCGGATCTGAAGTGGAGGGGCTCGCCAGGTCCAGAGCAAAGGGCTGAGCTCTGAGGCCCCGCCCCTCTGGCCAGGGCTGTGGTGTCGGTGCTGGGCTCCTGGCTGCGGGACCACCCTCAGGATTTCCGGGACCCCCCTGCCCACTCGGACCTAGGCAGTGTCCGCACCTTTCTGGGCTGGGCGGCCCCGCTGGGCGCCGAGGCCCGGGAGGCTGAGAAGCTGCTAGGAGAGTTCCTGAAGGAGGCTGAGCATGCGCAGGAAGAACAGGAGCAGCCCCAGGCGTGGGCAGGTGAGGGGCCTCTGAGCAGGCCTTTCCTGCATGTTCCCTCCCCCATGGTCCTCCTCTCTGCTCCCGGAGCTACAGATCTTGGGCAAGGTTCTTAACCCTGTCTGAGCCTCAGTTTCCCCACCTGTAAAGTGGGGATAATAACTCTCTAACGTATTAGCATTTGTCTAGCGCTTCCCCCAACCTCCTCCTTCCTAACTACAAAGATACTTCACCACTGGGTCAGGACGCCCTGTGTTTCTAGCTACAGATCATTGCATTGCTACTTGCCTTAGGAGCCACAGAGTCCTAGGTTCAAATCCTAGTTCTGCCATTTGCTGACTGTGTGACCTTGGATAAGTCACTGCACCTCTCTGAGCCTCAGTTTCCTTATCTGTGAAATGGGCCAACCATGGTACTTACCTCATTGGCCTCCATCCTTTCAACAAATATTTGGCCATGGGCACCTAACAATGGATGGGAGCTCCTGGTTCCCTGGGGAAGACAGTCAGTAAACAAGTAAATAAACAATGAGGGCTTGGCAAGGAGTATAGTTTTTGTTATTATCACTGATTCTTACTTATTAGCTGTCTGCCACTTATAATGAAATATATACAAGAAGCCAGACATATTTCTTGTAGAGTAGGTGTCAGCAAACTATGTGGTCCTTTCTAGAAGGAGTTTGCCAACCTATGTTGTAGAGAGCTTTTGGCAGAGGGAAAAATATCCACATTCTTCATTCAGGTCTCCATCCAATTGTCACCTCCTCCGATATGCCTTCTCTGACCCCCTCCCAACAAACATATCCATCCACTCTGTCCTCTGAGCCTGCCTTATCTTTCTGTTTTTTTGTTGTTTGTTTGTTTTGTTTTTTGTTTTTTTGTGAGGAAGACCAACCCTGAGCTAACATCCAATGCCAATCCTCCTCTTTTTGCTGAGGAAGACTGGCCCTGGGCTAACATCCGTGCCCATCTTCCTCTACTTTATATGGGACGCCACCACAGCATAGCTTGACAATCGGTGCAACAGTGCGCGCCCAGGATCCGAACCTGTTGAACCCCAGGCCACCTAAGCCGAGCGCACTTAACCACTGCGCCACCGGGCTGGCCCCTGTCTTATCTTTCTGTGTAGCTCTCATTGGTCTTGTCCCCGGTTCTGTCCCCAGGGGCAGGAACAAGGAGGATTTGTTGAATGAATAATTGCATCCTGCTTATAAAGTATCATCTTTCACCCATCTGTGTCCGATCTGATCCCTATCACAAAAGCATCTATATCCCTAATCTCCATCCGCTAATCCTCAGATAAAGCGGCCACATTTCTCTCCACTTTACAAAAGAGCAGCTGCTTCTCTCTCCCGCAGATGACAAAGTCTCAGTTATTTACATCGATTTTATCATTCCATCTTCCCTCCTGGTTACTAAGTGTCTTTCTTCCTCTGCCTTCAAGATTTCACCAGCTGATTCCAAGTCACTAGAACTACATACTCCAGGGCCGGCCCCGTGGCTTATCGGTTAGATGCGAGGTTCCGCTGCTGGCGCCCGGGTTCGGATCCCGGGTGCGCACCGACGCACCGCTTCTCCAGCCATGCTGAGGCCACGTCCCACATACAGCAACTGGAAGGATGTGCAGCTATGACACACAACTATCTACTGGGGCTTTGGGGGAAAAAATAAATAAAATTTTTTAAAAAACCAACTACACAGTCCAATGGGGTAGCCACTAGCCCCACGTGGCTATTGAAATTGAACTGAAATTAATTAAATTGAACTTAAGTAAAAATAAAAATTCAGTTCTTTGGTTGCACTAGCCACATTTCTGGTGCTCAGTAGCCACATCGGACAGCACAGGAAGAAAATATTTCCAGGAAATTCTATTGGAAGTGCTGCCCTGGCTATGAGTTCTTGAGGTCACAGGAGAAAATGAACATATATTGAATACCTACTGTGTGCCAGGCTCTCAGAACATTAACATCTTTATTTTTTGGGTCCCTTTTTTTTTTTTTTTGGTGAGGATGGTTGGCCCTGAGCTAATATCCATTGCCAATCTTCCTCTTTTTGCTGAGGAAGATTGGCCGTGAGCTAACATCTGTGCCCATCTTCCTCTATTTTGTATGTGGGATGCTGCCACAGGATGGCTTGATGAGCAGTGCATAGGTCCACACCCGGGATCTGAAGCTGCAAACCGAGGGCCGCTAAAGCAGTGTGCGAACTTAACCACTATGCCACCGGGCTGGCCCCAGCACCCAAGTTTAATCAAACCTTCGGATCTTACAGCAAATGTAGGGGATAGAGGAATATGCCACGTGTCACTAAGAGAAAGCAAACAGGGAAATAGAGAAGAATGTGACCTTCCTCAGGATAAATGACCCATTTTTTCCCTAATGACATTAGCAAAAGGCAAATAGGGACTGTCACAGAATAAAAGTGACATAAGAAAGGAACAACCGAATGCCTTGAATGGATCTTTGGATTTTGAAGAAACAACTGACACAGGGGCTGGCCCCGTGGCGTAGCAGTTAAGTGCACGTGCTCTGCTGCTGGTGGCCCGGGTTCGTATCCCGGGCACGCACCAACACACCGCTGGTCAGGACATGCTGTGGCAGTGTCCCATATAAAGTGGAGGAAGATGGGCACGGATGTTAGCTCAGGGCCAGTCTTCCTTAGCAAAAAAAAA